TGTGTCGTTCATAAGGTCGCTATGAATTGAACTTGACTCAATGGAACCTAGTGACAACAACAATAAACATTCAAATCACTTATCTGTGAGCAATTTATCTTTATCTATCTACCCATCCATCCACCCCATTTATACATCTACTTATCCATCCATCCATATACCCATCCATCCATCATCTACTTATCCATTTATCTATCCATCCATCCATCCATCCATCCACCCATTCATCCATCCATCCATCTATCTACCTATCTACCTACCTGTCACAACTTCACAGGTTTTACACCTCTGGAGAACCTAGTCTAAGACATTAAGTATTATGTTTCTCATCTATCTGGTTCTGATTCTTGCATTAGTGTTACGGGGTGTGGGGGGGGGGGCTAAAAGAAGAAAAGAAACAGAAAAGCTGACAGAGCAGAACTCTGCTCCCAAGATATTCAATTATCTATTTTTAAAACAAGGAGCAAACACAAGTGTCAGCTTAATGATTCAGAGACATTAATTGCCAAGATATTTTTATCACAGGAGTTGCTATTCAGCGGATTGCTTGTGGTTTGCCAGGGAATTCACGAAACACGTAACTCAGGAACATACAGCCAACGAGAAGTGCTGACATCAGCACACTCAGTGGAGTCAAAGAAGTCACTGCCCTCAAAGCCAAGACTTCTTCGTGCTTCAAGGCAAACAACAGTCTCCCTGTGCTGGTGCCCATGACGCAGAAATGGGGCCACCAGGGGGAGGGTTTGGAAAATGCTTGAAACCATGAATGGAAGTCCCCTGCTGGAGGGTGAATGGGTGCACTAAGACTGGACTGATGGCAGGTTACAGGCCACGTGACCTCAGCAATGATTCCCAGGAAGTCGCCTGTGTGGGACAATACATCGCAATCACAGCCTCATGCAGCTTATACAGGCCTCCTGGAAACGTCAAGAGTGACAGATTTACCCTGGTCGCGGTGCACTGGTGTTTCATTGCTGTATGACAAATACCCAAAGGTCGCAGCTTCAAACAACACATGTTTGTTGACAGCTTCCAAGGGCCAGGAGTCAGCTGGGCCCTCTGCTCAGGGTTTCCAAAGGCTCAAATCAAGCTGTTGAGTACCATCTGAGACCTTCTTTTGGCTGTTGGCAGAGTCTGCTTCCTTCTAAGAGTGTAACATAAGTCTCGGTCTTGTTGACCAAGGTCATTCTCAGCTTCTGCTCCTGAAGGACATCTTAGGGCCCTCTCACAACCTAGCAGTTGTTTTTCTCTTCAAAGCCTGAGGCGGAACTGCCCTTATGCTCCACATCTCTTCTTCATTTTGGGGTCCATCCATGTATTTTAAAGGACTCACCTGATTAGGTCAGGCCCACCAAGGTTATAGTAATGGTATCCAGAAACTCTATGAACTTTGATAAATGTCCGTAGTTATAGATAGGCTTCAGGCCTTTTGTTCATAGGGTCGCTATAAGTCATTCTTGACTCGAAGGCAATCAACAACAACATTTATTTTCTTAAATTATATATATAATGTTGTTGTTATGTGCTGTCAAGTCTCCTGCGGCTCATAACAACCCTACTGTACCTGAACCCTGCCCTGTCCTGACCCAGCCTCACTGACTCTGACACACCTAATCCCATTGCCCTGGTTACCGTGTCAATTCATCTCATCCAGGATCTTCCTCTCCTGCACCGTCCCTCTACCCTTCCAAGCATAATCCTTCTCCAGAGATTGGTCCCTCCCAGTCACATGCCCCAAGTACCTGTGATGGAGCTTCAAAATTCTTGCCTCCAAGGAGAAACTTGATTTTACCCTAAGATCTATTTGTTCTCCTGGTGGTCCATGATATATTCAAGACATTTCTCCAGCACCACAACTCAAAGGCATCAATTCATTTTCTGTCATCTCTAGTTATTGTACAGCAATCTGATGGACAGCAAATAATTGCTAAGATCATGGTGTGGATCAGGCACACCTTACTCTCTAGCCTGACAACATTGCTCTTTAGCACTTTGGAGAGGTCCCTGACAGCAGACTTCCAAAGAATAAACAAAGAGTAAACTCTTTCAAGAAAATGCTAAATGTATTCATTCAGCAATATTGTTTATTATGTAACAATAACCTCTCATTGGACAAATTTGATATCAGTTGTAGGGACTGTAGAAGCTTGATGGCAGAGCCTGAAAGGAGTTGCGCTAACTCAGAGTCAATGCCTCTCTGAAGGTTCGAATCCACCCGCAGCTCCAAGGGAGAAAGATGAGCAATCTCCCTCACGTGATTCACAGCCTTCCAAAAACCCACAGGTGGGTCAGCTACGAGTCAGCTCCAACTTAGTGGGGATGAGACTGAGTTCTACATATTCACCTGCTCAGGTCAGTTCATAAAGTGAGAACATACAGAACACTGTCTTTCTGTGACTGCCTTAGTCTGCTCAACACAATGTCCTCCCAGTTCCCTCATGCTCTGTGCTGATTTGCTTCAAGGCTGAGAGTATTACTCCATTGTGTATCTGCACCACCTTAAACTCTTCCACTCACCAATGGACAATGATCTATTATAGGGTTTTCAATGGCTGGTGTTTTGGAAGTAGATCACTGAGCCTTCCTTCAGAGTCCCTCTGGGTGGAAGTGAATCACCGACCTTTTGGTTTGTACACATGAAATAACTATACCATTAAAGGGTATGTTTAAAATAAACCTCTCCTCAAGGATTACTGAGATAAAGACGGACAGTCTCCTCCTTTGTGATCTGTAGCTTCAGAAAACCTGCTAGAGGCTCAGCTCTGAGTCGGTTCCAATCCGACGGCATTGAGTTTGAGTTTTTTAATTGTTTACAGCAGGTGGTGGTGGTGGTGAGGACCATCAAGTTGACTGTAACTCATAGCAACCTTATGAACAATGCATCTGAACCTTTCCCTATGCTGCGCCGTCCTCTTCATCTCTCAAACACTTGAGCCTATGGCAGGGAGCTCTCGTGGCCTAGTGGCAAGAAGTTGTGCTGCAATCTGGAAGGCACGCAGTTCAAATCCCACCAGCCGCTCTGCAGGACAAGGATGGGCAATCTCCTCCCAAGCAATTAACTATTTTGAAAACCCACCAGAGGGTCAGCTATCAGTCGGTCTGACTCAATGGTACACAACATGGCCACTGTCATTGTGTCAATCCATCTCTTTGAGGGTCTCCCTCTCTTCATCTGACCCACCACTTTTCCAAGTTTGATGTCCTTTACCAAGGACTGACCTCTCCTAAAAACATGCCCAAAATAGTGGGGCCAAGTTCCACCATCCTTGCCTCCAAGGAGCACAGCATGTGTTAAACTTTGTCTGTAGAGGGCGCTGGAGAGACACAGAGGAAGAGAGATTCCTGGGGCTCCACCTTCCTTTCTCAGCAGGTTCCTGCCTGCACCTTCTTTTCTAGCACCTGTTCCCATAGCTTGAGCGGCTTCGGTGAGACCCCACAATGCATGGCAGGAATTGGCAGCCAGAACCTCCCTGCAGCTTCTGCCGTCAGTTCTGCAGCACTGTCCAGGGAGACACAGGCTTGTGAAAACCTTCTGCCAGCATGCTAGGGGGCCGAGTCCAGCAAGCTCTCAGCTGTAGCAATCAGGAGGCCACAGTCATGCTCACGCCAGCAAGGGCTGGGGCTCTGTCTGGGCGCTGGATCTCAGATCCCTAGGCAGCGGCTGCCCCTTATGATGACAATCCTGTATTTGCTGGAGCCCACCTCCCTTCTGACCACCCTTACTGCCTGTCATGTTGACGATTTCTTTCTTATACATTCCCTGTGTGAATTAATGCATCTGCACGCTGTCTGCTGTATTGATCCCTATAGCTGTTCTGTTAGGGGGCCACTAGGAGGAGCCCTGGACTCCCCGCTGTTCTGCAGCCCACCCAGCTCAGCAGCAGATGCCCACTTCCAGGCAGGCTGCACTGGGTATATTCTGTGTTCCCTTCCTCGGGTTGAAATGGGCTGACTTGGTCACAGCACTAGGCAGCGTGGTGACCACACCATCCTTCGTGAGGCTGCAACTCCAGCTGCTGTTATGTATACAGTCAAGTCAGAGCGGACTCAGAGCTGACCCTCCGGTGGGTTTGCAGAGGGAGTGAATCGCACAGGAGGAGACCGTCCACCTCTCTCCCACGGAACAGCTGGTGGACTGTAACCATGAGCCTTTGGGTTGGTGGTTCAAATCCTCACCACTAGTCAATCAGCGTTTCCTAAAGCCCTAGAGGTTATCAAAAGGTTCTCAACTATTCCTGGCGTACATTTCAAAACGAAAGAGCCTCTCAGGCAGCCCCACTAGGGAGCAGTTCCGAATGCCATCTTTGGCTGTGGGTTTAATCGCTGGCCTTAGCCTCTGGGTGAATGAAAACCAAGGAATGGAGGGGCTAGAGACCACTGCTCACCCATTCTTGGTCTCAGTCTCCTGCCTCTACCAGCTGGACCTCTGAGCTTCCCCATCCAGCCCTCGCTCCTCAGCCTGGGGTCCACCCACCAGACAGGGCCACCGTCACCCCGACAGCTCACAGAATATGCAGAATCACACGTACTATCTTTGTATAGTTCTGTTCCCCAACCCAAATCTGACCCTGAACCCCTCCTCCAACCTACACCTTCTCAGGGACCTTCATTGCTCAATCTTCATACGTGACTAAGAGACCCTGCCATAGAGATCAACCTTCAGATGTCTGTCCAAACAGCCAGGGGCCAGGGGCCAATCAGCCCTGGCTCATCTGCAGCCAGGACTCGGCTGTTCACAAGGGCCCAGCCCACACTCTCTGGCTTGTCCTCCCGGCACCGTTTGTAAGAACTGACCTGCCAGTAACGCCCCTTCACTGAGGTGGGTACCTCTCTGTGCATGTGCCCAGGCTACTGCGTGGCCAACTCCATGTCAGCCCCCAGAACCCAGAAGCACCCCAACTCCCAGCCCTCAAAGGTGGTGACTCTATGGCGCTTATGGGTAATAGCAGCACAAGGGGCTGGGTGGTGGGCAGACACACAACAAGGTGGCGGGGTGTTACCTGTATGCATTTTTTGAAACAGGGCGAGGATCAAACTTAAAGAAGATGATGCACATGGTTCACTTGGGGGGCTGCCTCCCACGGTCACACGGTCTGCGGGAAGAGGGGGACACAAGTTCAGTGTGCAACCGATGACAGAGCTGCTGGCCCACACCTGTGCCCGCGGCGCCCCGTCCCTGAGCGAGCCACACAGAGGTCCCCGCAACGTCAGCTGGACATGGCATGTCACGACGCAGCATTTGCTGGCATAGCAAAGAAGGGCTTCCCAGATGCCCACTGTGCTAGTTGGCATGGAGAAGTCCAACCTCCTCCTAATGCTAGAAATGAGAAAGAACTCCTGTCCAAACTCACGGGGCCAGCACTGAATAGAACAAGCATATCATCACCCAGGTCCCTGGCCACAGCCAGAGAGGGGCACCATAAAGATGGTGGCAGTGAAAGCAGACCCTCTGCTATGTCCAGGTTGCTGCATTGCTGGTTCCTCACTGGCATCATGCATACCTGGTGAAGGCGCCCAGGCCAGCCTGTAAGCCATCGTAGGAGGCCACCCCTGCTCAGCCACCCTCAAGGAGCTGTATTAAACTGACCCCCACGGTGGCCAGAGCAGATCTCAGAGACTGGAGGGCTGCATGACACATCAGCGAGCAGGGAGTCAGGGAGCACAACCTGGAATTTATGGCCCAGGTAAGGGTTATATTTGTTGTTACACGCTTTCTAGTCAGAACCAACTCATAGCTGACCTGCTAGCAGGTTTTCAGAGGCAATAAACCACACAGAAATGACTGCCCATCTTTCTCTCACAGGGGTGGAACTGAACCGGCTGCCTTTGTGTTGGTAGTGCAGCCCCTCACCCCTAGGCCACCAAAGCATCCTCAGGCAAAGGTTAGGGTGATTCAAAGGCCACGTCTAGGCTCTGAGGGAATGTTATGGGTGCCAGCTGAATGTGGACTCGGCATACCCCTCCTCCCCAGACTCTGCCCCAGAACCTTGGGGCCTGGCGACATCACCCACAGCCTGGTGGAAGTCAAGATCAGGGTGCAGAGCTGCCAATGCCGCAAACAGCCTGCAGGTCTCACGCACCATGAATGAGGGGGTGGTGACACCATTCTGTGCACGGTAGGGGCCGGGAGGCCAAGAGGCAAGAGACCACACAAGCTGTTCAGATACGAAGCCTCAGAAAAGCCGTCGAGGGGAGCTGGGTCGTACTGAAAATATGGCTACTGTTGTTGTTATTGTGTACCATCAAGTCATAACCGACCCACTGCTCACCCTGTGGCAGGCTTTCAGAGGCGGAGACTGCCCATCCTCCTCCCATGGAGCAGCTCGTGGATTCGAACCGCGTGCCTTTGGGATTGTAGTGCAGCTTCTCGCCACTAGGCCACCAGAGCTCCCTGCCACACATTAAGCGGGCTGAGGTCTGTGCATGTGTCAATGCAACTGTAACGATGTATGTCTGTGTTCCTGTGTACATACATGTACATGTGAGTCTGTAAGCCATACATGCTATGTCATGCATGCGTATCTCTGTGCAGTGCATGCTTTGTGTATGTGTGTGTGTGTGTGTGTGTGTGTGTGTGTGTGTGTGTGTGTGTCTAGGCATATATATATATATACACACACACACACACATCAGGGACATGTGTCGCTATTGTGTACACTTATGCATACATGTATATTCCTGTGCATCTGTGCATATACGAGAACATATCTATGCCCACTGTACATGTGTCTACATGTGTACACGTGTCTCTAGGGCCTTCAAACACGGAACAGCCCTCACGCCCCTTGCTCAGCTTTCAGCCAAACAAGAGGCTGGCCCCTGCTCCCATGCCCCATGTCTCATTAAGTCCATGAAAGGCACCAGGAGTCCAGAGACGATGGGAGGAGGCTGTGCTCCCTCCCCTCAGTCCCCTGGAGATGCCCACTGGAGGCCACCATCCCAGGGTGATCCATCAGCAGGGTGTTCGGACCAACCCTCCTTGTAAATACAACAACACACAATGTTTGAATGCTTCCTGAACACAGCAGAAAGCAGACGAGGTCGTATGGAACTGAGACAAGGATCAGGGGAGGAGACTCACACAGGGAGCTGAGTACAGCAGCTGGCTGTGTCCGGAACACTCGCCCGTGGAGATAAACTGAGGCTAGGGGCCCGGTGACCTCAGATTGAAGGAGATAGAAGGTAAGGCCTATTGGACAATTAAAACAGACACTTGGATGGCGGGGAAGAAGAACAAACTGGGGAGGAGGGTAGAGAGAATGGTGCAGCAATGAAGGAATGAAAACCCAAAATCCCTGTAAATGTTCATTAAAACTAATAAAATTTAATAATAAAAAAAAAAAGAAGGTAAGGCCTGGGGCCCAGCCAAGGCAAGAAACCAGAGATGTCCCTTCAGGTTAAGCTGGGACCCCAAAGTGCTACTTCACAGAGTTGTTGTTGTTGTTAGGTGACATCAAATTAAGTGTGACTCACAGCACGACCTTATGAACAAAAGACCTGAACCCCGTCGTGTCCTGTCCTGTGCCGTCCTCATCACCTCTGACACACTTGAACCCTTTGCTGTAGTCACTGTGTCGATCCATCCGGTTGAGGGTCTTCCTCTCTTTTGGGGACCCTCCATCTTTCCAAGCATGATGTCCCTTTCCAGAGAAAAGCCCCTCCTAGCAACATGCCCGAAGTATATGACGTGAAGCTTCATCATCTTTGCCTCCAAGGAGCACTCTGGCTGCACCTCCTCTAACACTTACCTGTTTCTTCTTCCGGCCGTCCATGGGATAGCCAGTACTCTTCTCCAATGCCCCAGCTCAAGAGCATCGATTCTTCTGTCATCCTTACTGCCACATGCACTACCATCCCCACATGGGCCGCAGTGACAGCCATAAAAACAGGGGTGCAGGGGGGCAGGGCTGAAAAATCTGTGACCATGGCTAAGCGTTCTCTAGATCAAGACTACATCCACACAGTGTGAGGGCTCTGAGGCCTTCAGGTTGAAAACCTAGTTCAAAGAGACCCCCACACACTAGCTTTTTGCTGCTGCTGACGCGCATAGTACTGTTGATAAAATCTTTCTGGGACACTATTGCTACCTTAGACCTTAACGCCAACCTCAGGCCAGCAGGCAAGTGCTTAATTGCCAGGGTGCCTGGAAAATAAACTACCCAAACCCAGCCCACTATCACCAGGCTGGTTCTGATTCCCAACGATCCCTTTAGGATGGGGTAGAACAGTCCCAGAGGGTCTGAAGAGTGACATCTTTATGAAAGAAGATTGCCGAGTCCTTCTCTTGTGGGTTTGAACTGCCGATCTTTCTGTTAGCAGCCGTGTGCTTTAATGGCTGTGTCACTAGGGTCCCTTGAAAATGACTATCAGGAAGAGGAGAAAATCAAAAGTACACCTGGAGGGAGCTCTGGTGGCCTAGTGGCAAGAAGCTGCACTGCAATCCCAGAAGCATGTGGTTCGAATCCACCAGATGCTCTGCTGGAGACGGAGGGGCAAACTCCTCCTGTATCAGTCAGATCTGATTTGACTTCACACACAAAAAATAATAAAAAAATTTTTTTAAAAAGTACACTGGGAGATGTTTAGGTCTTTCTTTCATAGGGTCGCTATGAGTTGTCTACGACTTGACAGCACTTAACAACAAGAAGAAGAAGGAGCTTTTCAGCAATGAAAGGATTTAAGAGTAGATTAAGATACAGTCTCACCCTAGAAGCTGTGGCAAAGTTTAACAGGACAGCAAGTGGTAACTGTGGAGAGGATGCAGAGAGATTGGAACGCTCATGCACTGCTGGTGAGCTTGTAAAATGGCAGAGCCATTCGGGAAGGCAGTTTGGCGTTTCCTTAAAATAACTAAACATAAAAATCCCAAATGACCCAGATACTCCACTGCTAGGAACATACCCCAAGGAAATTAGAACAGAGATACAAGTGGAGATATGTACACTTATGCTTCAGAGAGTTGGACAATGACTAAGGATGACTAAGAAGAAGATACCTTCGAGTTGTGGTGCTGGAGAAGAGTCTTGAACATACCTTGGACTGCCAAGAAAACAAATCAGTCTGTCTTGGAGAGGGTGAAACCAAGTCTCTCCTTGGAGGCTAGGATTTTGAAGCTCTCTGCCTCATCAGTCCTTGGAGAAGGACATCATGCTTGGAAGGGTGGATGGACAACATAGGAGAGGGAGAACCCAGATGAGATGGGTTGATACAGTAACTTGGGGCAGTGGGGGTTGATGGGTCAGAATTAGTGAGACTGGCTCAGGACAGGGAAGGGTTCAGAGCTGCTGTACATAGAGGGTCGCTATATGTCAAAAGTGACTCAATGGCATATAACAATAATAACATACTATGACAGGTTTAGAAGTAGGCGTGGCATCCACTTCCTGAACAACATGCCTCCGGAAACTCTATGAACTATGATCAATGTTGATAGTTGCAGAGGGGCTTCAGGCCTTGTGTTCATAGGGTCGGTACGAGTTGTGCTCGAGTCGAAGGCAATCAACAACAACATGTTCATAGCAGCACTAGTCACAACAGCAAGGAAATGGCCCAAAACAGCCATCAACAAATGAATGGATAGAGAAATTGTGGTACATTCACACAATGGGATATTATGTAGCACTAAGGAGAAACGATTTTCTAAAACACTATATCACAGGAGAGTCTAGAGGCAGAGTGAATTAACTGAGTCTTATAAGGACAAATACAGCCTAACACCATTATTGTAAAAGGGAAAGGGTGGAAATCATTAGGAGAGTTTAGTGGATAG